GCCTCAACTCATGCTCCTGAAAAGGTTAAAGCTTCTACCATCACCAAAGTTAGAAAGATTTCAGATTAAAAGATTAATGGGCAGCCTTTAATGTCTGGAGAGAAAATTGTGTGCCATTCAGTGAAATAAAATCTAATGAGTAGGAAGCATAAAGGCACATTCACACATGACCGGGCACAGGATTTTATTACTTAATTCTTTTAAATGCTGCCTTTTGCCAGGCCACAGCCAATCTCTCGTTCTGTAGGACTCAAGTCAGCACAACTTGCATAATCCCAGCAAAGTAACGTTTCAGAAGCAAACTAAAGGTGCTAAGAAGCTTATGCAAGACTCAGCAAAGACAGGGAAAATGTCTCAGAAGCCTTGCCCCGTTCTGAGCCTTCTCCTCTTCTCCCACTTGGAACAGCTCTGCAGAGAAAACAGTGTTTAGGAGCCTACGGGATGTAGAAACACTAAGACCGACGACTGGGCTGGAAGGGAGTGGCAAGAGAAAACACAAACCCACAAACGCCTTACCACAAGTGGGACCTGGAGCAATGAAGACAGTTCATCCTGATCATCGATCGAAGTTTTGGGGTGCACAATTCCTCCTTGGTTACTAAACACACAGTAACTTCCTACCAGCACCTGATCTGCTACCGTTTGTCTGAAAACCTCAACCTTCAGTACATCTGCCAAGATCTCTTCTGTCTCCTGCAAACAGAAATAGAGAGAAAGTCCTCAGCAAAATGGTATTGTAGAAGTTGAAGTCAAGCTATTCCTGCACACCAGGACCAGCTGGGATCCTCCCCTTTGGATCCTGCCCACACTTTCACAATCCACTGCAATCCAGTCATTATAAAATGCTTACTCAGGCTCTACACTGCAGATATTTCCAGTTACCTGTGCACACTGAGCTGGGCCACTACACCTAAACACAACGCCATGCCTTGCCTGAGAAATGCTCTCCTCCCCCTTTGCTGGAGGATGTACACCAGATGTGTCAATCCCTGTTCTCTGGGCATTCCCTAGAACCAGCCCTCTTCTGTGCCAGACCACTGGGACAAAATTGTCTCATCCCTCTGGATAACTCTTAAGAACTTCCTTCCACTCCAAGTTTTCACTGTGAACTATTTTGATTTCTCCCTCTCTGGCCATCTTACCTTATTTTTTACACTTATTTAAAACATAATATGCTGCAAAGACCATTACCTTCCCTCCCCCCCCCCCCTTTTTTTTTTTCCTTTGCACTCCTAACATCAAGTCCCATTTCTTCATCACCTTTAGCACAAACTGAAAGTAAACACTGCAAGGACCACCACTACCCCTAGCCACACAACTCATCTCTCTCATGCTATTACGATATCAGTTCTCAAGCATAAAGTGGCAGCAACTTTGTCTCTTGATTTAAACTTCCATACAAGAACCTTCCATTTTTCTTTCACCCCTCTGTAAACACACACACCACCACGTCCATGGCCTCTTTCAACGACTACAAATTTCAGCTGGCTCAGCAGTAGCTCGTAACTGCTGCTGTAGTCCTGACTGACCTCTTCTTTATGCCCTCTTTACTACACCTGCTCATGCTCTTTTATCCATTCACTTTTACTCAGGGAGAGCAAACTGCACCCAACAATACACTTCCATGTCCCACTCCTTCCCTTCTACAAAGAGCATTCGCTAACGCATGCTGAACAAGAGGGCACACGCTGTACTTGGGGCAGGGTCCACATACACAAATAGAGTTAAATACAGGAAAAGAGGGAGCTCAACTGATCAGGTGTCCAAAATGCAATTTTGAGACCTCTCTTGAGAAGAAAGGAAACATGAGGCAGTACAGCCTCCTACATAGTGTTAGCTCAGCTGTTAGCACAGGTCAGAGACCCCCATGCCATGTACAGCAATCCTCAACGACAACACACCCAAGCCGCAGCTCAGCAATTGTTTCACACGCATCCACTATGAATTTAAAAGCATTACAGAGCCGTATACCCGGTCAAGATCTGGATGAACCAGAGCTACGTAGTCATTGCAGGTAGTGCAATTGCCCAGTCCTGAGAGACGCCCTTCTACTCGTTGAATTCGTACAGAATCTGGAAGACTATTGCGGATATGTTGAAGCTCTTGGTCTGTTGTACTGCTTGGGACCAACAGTCCATGTCGGTTTCCTGAAATGTCACAACAAAAAAAAAAAAAAAACAAAAAAAAAAAAAAAAAAAAAAAAAGAGAGAGAGAGAGACTTCCTAGTAGCTGAAAGAATGCTTCCACAAGGCTTCCTGTTTTCCTGATGCTGGCTTGAATTGCCCTCATCCTATCCTCTCCTCCCAAGCCCAGAATTCAGCCCAGGAGAAATAATATAATGTTATTTAACCTGTCTCTGAGTAGAAATGGGTGAATGGCACTATCAGTAGTCCCTTTTTGAACAGAACTAAAGGAAGCCCAAGGTGCTCAATGAAACACTTTGACCGGGGATTTCCCCTCTAGATGCCAATTGCCCCACACCACGTACAGATGCTGCTTTTTCCTATGACTTTGCTGCGGCAAAGCTGTAAGATCAGGGGGACAAAGGCATTTTTTGCACAGGAACAAAACTCAAGCAAGAAGTTTGCCTGACTGAACAGAGTCTCGCTAACCAGAGACGGACAAAAGACTTTCCTTTGATTTTCGTGTTTGTTAATGCCTCCCCCCTCCCCGGGCTCTGCCCCTCCACTGCTGATGCTGGGCCATTAACCTTAAGAAAAGCTAAACTTCTCCCAGTTTACCAGAAAGGAGACTTACACGTCCCTTTAGCCCATCTTCAAGCCCCGGGAGGCAAACGCTGCTCGCTGCCCCAGCCCTCTGGTACTGGGGGAGTTTTAGTTTCTCTATTTTCACTCCTCTCCACACACTTGAAACATTAAAATAAAAACCGCGCGGATGCGGAGCCCGCTGGATTCCTCGCCCCAGCTAAACCCACCCTATGCCCCCCTCTGCACCAACCGAGCACGGGACCCCGCCCTCGTCTCCAGCGGGGCCCCTCCAGGGCCCGGCCGGGCCCTCACCTACCCACACACATTCTGCCGATGATGCGGCAGTTTCTTCAGAATTTTCAGATATCGGACAGTCTGACTGGAATTGTGACTTTGAGCATGTGACATTGAGATGTCCGACTATCGTTGACTCACCTATTGCACACCTGCAGATCACCTCTATGCTTCATGCATGGTGAAGCTGATGCTTCCAAGAAGCGTGAGAGCTATTCTGTGTATATTGTAGAGCTGATTACCACCTGTGCGGGACTTCTCATGCAACAGGAATGTTTTTGATTTACTATGCATTCACAGACCAACTATACCACCTTGCAGAGCAAGTCTAATGATTTCAAAAGCCTCAGATTTGGTGCACATGTGTTGTCCAGAAGAAGCACAAGTATTTTAGTCTGAGAAATCCCAGGGGAAAAAATAGCCTCTGTAGGTCTTTGTGGAGATTTAGAAATACCCAATAAACAAGAAATAGTTAAGGCTAAAACCTAACTTACACTATACTTTTTCAATGGTGCACGGGAAAGAGCACGTGAGAATCTGTTGAAAAGAGAGAGGAATATTTGGGAGAAATGGTCCGTTCGCGTGCACCGGCACCATCCTCGTCGGGGCACGACCTGCGCCCTTGCGCTGGCGCCCGCCGTGTGCCACGGCCCCCGGTTCAGACGTGTGACCCGCGTGCCTCAGCACGACACCCGCGCCCAGGTGTGACCGCGTCAGCTGCCACCTGTGCTCTACGCAAACCCTACCCGTGTGAGGATCCCACCCGTGGACAGACACCACGTGGGTGCCAATGTCAGCCACGTGCAGATCATAGAATCACGGAACCATTTGTGTTGGCAAAGCCCTTTAAGCTCACCCAGCCCAACCGTTCCCCTAACCCTGCCATCCCACCACTAAACCCTGGCCCTAAGCACCTCATCTGCCCAGCTTTTAAATACCCCCAGGGGTGGGGACTCGACCCCTGCCCTGAGCAGCCCCTTCCAGTGCCTCCGCTCCTCATAAGACTTTGGCTCCAGACCCCTCACCAGCTTCATTGCCCTTCTCTGGACATGTTCCAGCAATGCAACCTTTTTCAAATGCCAGTCACCCGCCCAGCCATGCAACCCGTATCCTCCTGGCACAGTGCAGCTCAGCAGAGGGGCTCTGGACAAGCTTGGCATGCTCACCTCCTGTCCTGGTTTCGGCCGGGACAGAGTTAACTTTCTTCCTAGTAGCTGGCACAGCGCTATGGATTTAGGATGAGAAGAATGTTGATAACTCACTGATGGTTCAGTTGTTGCTGAGCAGGGCTTACACTAAGTCAAGGACTTTTCAGCTTCCGCTGCTCTGCCAGGGGCTCAAGAAGCTGGGAGGGGGCACGGCCAGGACAGCTGACCCCAGCTGGCCCCAGGGCTATTTCAGACCATAGGGCATCAGGCTCCGGGGAAGTTGGCTGGGGGCGAGTGATTGCTGCTCAGGACAGGCTGGGCATCGGTCATCGAGTGGTGAGCAATTGCATTGTGCATCACTTGTTTTTTATATTCTGTATGTTCTATTACCGTCATTATTATTATTGTTATTGTTATTCTCTTATTAAACTGCCTTTATCTCAACCCACAGGGTTTACTTCTTTTCCGATTCTCTCCACCATCCCACCAAGGGAAGGGGGCAGTGAGCGAGTGGTTCAGCTGCTGGCCAGGTTAAACCACACCACCTCCCCACGAGGGACCCAACACAGCTCTTTCCAGCAGAACACCTCCTTTATTTTTATCAATGTTACCCTGCCTTTGACCATTTCATTTTCAGCACATGGATACAGGGAGCGGAATCGCTCAGTACAAAGAGGACCTGGGTTCACCCTGAAGACCTCAGTGGCCAAACGGTTTCCAGCTGTAGCAATGGTTTTGCTGTAAGTTATGGTTCTTTCCCAAACAGGTAAAAAGAGCGTACAAGTGTGGATTATGGTTATGTCGTTTTCTCCCTCTGGCCACGAGATTGAAAATTTGAACTGTACTTGCTAATCGCATCTGAATCAGTCACCTGCATATATCAGAAACAGCACAGACACCTTTTAATAGGAGCAAGAGTAATTTGCCACCCATACTTTGATTTTCACCCCAGGTATGATGATTGGTGGGGAAACGTCACCACTGGAAATATGACCGAAGGAGCCCTCGTGGCCCAGGTCAGAGTTCAAACCGACTGTGTATATGTTTAGATTTTAACTTGTTGTACTTGGTGATTAGATCGAGCTTACTGTGCCCCAGAGTCAGTCTTTTCTCAGCCCCGTACGCGCTGTTCTTTTCCATCAGCATGTCCTCGGGGAGTTTATCATAGCAGGGAACCACAGGCTTTTTATCTCGTTTTAGCTGGGTGTATGGGGATAACAGGTCCAATTTTCCCAGTCCAGGACTCTGTCTTTTTTCCATCCCATAAAGAGCATTGTCATTTTCTGCTGTCACCTCCCTGGAGGTAGCAGCGGGCCCTTTCTGCTTCGTGCTCATCCCATTGCTACTGGCACCCTCCGAAAGGGATGGCAATGTCTGCTCCTGCCTCGGTGGGGAGCAGTGGCTGCTGCTAGCCTTACTGTCCCCTGGATAAGCAGGTTTATTGGAGCTCAGGGCAGGGGAAGGCTCTGGCTGCAAGAATGTCCTTGCTGTCACGAGATTGGATTTGTGACACAAGGCCAGGGTGGATTGATTTGGAGGACTGTGCAGTGAGTCTGGTGGTTCTCCTTCCTGCTTAGGGCAAATGGGCTTCAGAGGTGTGTCCTCCTTCCCCTTCTTGTTACCAGAATCAGAGCTGGAATCTTGCTTTTCCTGGTGCACATTGCAGCTGGAGTTCTTCAGAAAGGGAGACATTTTTATGCTTCTGATGCTTACATTGGACAGGCTGCTAGAGGGGCTTGAGGTGCCTGCATCATTCACCTGTGGGGGTTCTAAAAAGGAGTTGGCAACTTTTGAGGTATTCTGAGAAGAGGGGCACGTTCTGGGATCTGGCACACAGAAGCTGGTCACTGCTCTGGACTCTGCATACAAGTACCGGAACTCCTTTTCAAACTCTGCAACAACTTGACCGCGGAAGTGGGTCACCAGGCTGGTGTGGACTTGGCTGCAAAGCCAGGTGAAACTGCGAAAAAAGAAAAAAACAAACACATGTAACTTTAGTTCATGGAGCGCCAAGGTACCTAGCGTTGATTTTACATGGGAATGATGTATTGCTACCCAATTTACATCATTAAAACTGTCTCTGAAGTATGCATGTCTGAGATTACTTGTAGAGATGAATGCACTCATTACGTAATTACAAAAGAGCAACCCTGGAATGGCCATTTCATTTCATCTCAGTGATGTAATGAACTGTATGAAAATATAAACAATGAACAAGAAATATTGGCTGGTTTTCGTCAGCCTTATGAAAAATGTAGAGCAGCAACCCTGCCTAAAAAGCAAAGCAGCATCTTTCAGGCCTTTTCTTCTCCAGCTGCCTCTCACCAGCGCTCTCTGCCCATCAGCAAGGAACCACCGTTTCCCATTCCCCATCCCATCCATGTGTTGGAGGGTACCGGTAACTGTGGGCAGGCTTGTCAGTCTGTGCAGGGGGGTGCTTCCATGCCCATGGTTTGTATTAAGCAGGCAGTGGCAAGGAGAGCTCTGACTGTCTGGAGATGGTGTGGCTATGGGACAGTGAGATACGAAGCACGGGGCACTGAAGGGCTCTTTCTGCCCAACTTGTATTGCAGACTCTCTAGCTCAGCATTTGGCTAGCACAGTACTCTGCACCCATACCTTCCACAGAGGGCGAGGAGACAGTTTGGGGGGACATGAAAGCATGCCTGGTCATAGAATCGTAGAATCATTTAGGTTGGAAAAGACCTTTAAGATGATCAAGTTCAACCGTTCCCCTAACCCTGCCATCCCATCACTAAACCGTGGCCCTAAGCACCTCGTCTGCCTGGCTTTTAAATACCCCCAGGGATGGGGACTCGACCCCTGCCCTGGGCAGCCCCTTCCAGTGCCTGACAGCCCTTGCGGGGAAGAAATTTTTCCCAATGTCCAGTGTAAACCTGCTCTGGCACAACTTGAGGCTGTTTCCCTCTACTGCCCCTCTACTCTGCTCTGGTGAGACCTCACCTGGAGTACTGCGTCCAGGTCTGGAGCCCTCAGCACAAGAAGGACATGGAACTGTTGGAACGGGTCCAGAGGAGGGCTACAAAAATGATCTGAGGGCTGGAGCACCTCTCTTATGAGGACAGGCTGAGAGAGTTGGGGTTGTTCAGCCTGGAGCAGAGGAGGCTGCGGGGAGACCTGCTTGCAGCCTTTCAGTACTTAAAGGGGCCCATAGGAAAGATGGGGAAAATCTTTTTAGTAGGGACAGCTGTGACAGGACAAGGGGTGATGGTTTTAAACTGAAGCAGGGTAGGTTTAGACTGGATATAAGGAAGAAATTCTTTACCGTGAGGGTGGTGAGACACTGGCACGGGTTGCCCAGAGAGGTGGTGGAGGCCCCATCCCTGGAAACATTCAAGACCAGATTGGACGGGACTCTGAGCAACCTGATCTAGTTAGCGGTGTCCCTCCTCACTGCAGGGGGGTTGGACTAGATGACCTCTAGGGGTCCCTTCCAACCCAAAACATTCTATGATTCTATCATTAAGTCTAACTGCACAGCACAAACTAGTAGAGATTCTTCTAAAGAACACAATTAATGGCCATATAGATAAATAGGATATAATAGGAAAGGCAGCTTTTGCAAAGGGAGGTTCTCTCTCACAAAGCTGTGAGAGGTCTTTGAAGTAACCCAAGAGTCCAGACAGGGGACATTTTGTGTACTGACATCGTCAAAGGCTTCTATCCCAGGGGCACTGCCTGGCTCCCAGGAGCACTGGGGTTCCCCCCCACGTCGCTTACAGCTATTGCCTTTCTACAGCAGGGTGCTGCATCTGCGCTGCGCAGTGCTCAGACGTATCCCAACTCCAGACCCAACTCCACTCACACGTGCACTGGTGTTCACTCAAACGCCTCAAAACCATAGCTGCATTCAGGGGACAAAGAACCCTCTCCTCTGGAGGAGTGGGCCTGCACCCCTCACGCTGCGAGCGGTGTCCCGTGAACTGCAGAGGACCCTGGTCAGCCAGGTGGAGGATAACGCCTACCACCCCTGTTCACCCAGCCTGGCACCCCTGTTGCCCACAGACCTGGAAACAGAGCTGTGCAAGTGGTCATGTTTGCCCTCCTCATTCTGACTGGGAGGTCTCGTGTCTCAGATGCAAATGGTCTAGCAGAAACATCGCAACAGCTACCCATGGAGGCCTCTGGCCTCAGCTTAGCAGGAGGTAAGCAACAGATCTTGCTTAGGTTTTCCTTCCCTCCCCAGACGAAGTGACTTCCATCTCCTGTCTTCTCCCAGCACCTTCAGACCCAAGTGCTGCCTCCCTACAGAAACTCACAAGACGGGTACACCCAGCCATCACCCAGCCATCTCCTCACCTTGGCATGAACTGTCCCTTCTCCTGTAAGGGGAGTAGCCTCACATCCAGCAATACACTCCCCTGCCCCTATGACTGTCCCTGCCACTGATGCTTCTCAGGGCTCTTTCCCCAGCCCAAATATTACTGCGTCCCAGTTTCCCACACCGATCCAATGGGGGCCTGCCCACTCTGTGTCATGATGGGACCTGGAAGGAAACATCCAAGTCCCCCCAGTGGCACAGCCCTCCTCCTTGCCAGAGTACAGGTTTCCATGACAGGATGACGTGGCCTTGCCATCCATGGCTATTCCCATCACTACGAACTGATAAAGGTCTTTTCTTCCATGAAGAGCTTGGAGGAAATAGCCAGGGAATGATCATTCTTGGTCTCTTCTGGTATAAAAATGAGGTATTGAATGAAGTTAACAGGTTCAGTGCATAACAGTTAACAGATTCAGTGCATACAAGAGGTACTTCCTTGCACAACGCAACACGCAGGCAAGCTGTGGAGCTCCTCACTGTAGGCCACTGTGGATGCTAAAAATTCACCTGAGTTTCTAAACCTGATAGGATTTTTCTGCCATTATTTTTTCCATAGTAACAAACTGCTGCACACAGAGATCCCATACCCAGTTCTGAATCACCCTGGGGCACAAATTACAGGAGCCTGGGAATGGATCTCTGTAGGACAGGATCGCTTCCCTGCCTTACTTTCAGGCACTCCTGGAGCAGTAACCCTCCAGGAACCCATGCAGCTCAGCCTCTGGCCAGGAGATGGAGTTGCAACATTAATTTCAAGTGACATTTTCTTTGATAAGATGGCAATAGTCATAGAATCATAGAATCGTCTGGGTTGGAAAAGAGCTTTAAGATCATCAAGTCCAGCCGTTACCCTAACCCTGCCATTAAACCTAACACTGACATCTGACTTTATTGTAGTAAGCTCCTTAAGCTTCCTTCCAATGCCCTTGAAATAATTTCCACTCCTCATTTTTCATCTTCATTTTGATTAAAAACAGCACAATGTATTCAGTTAATTTGGGCGTCCCACCTCAGTTATCTCTTTTTTCTTACTCACCTTTAATGCAGCATGCCTTGTCTCTTTCTTCAGGATTCACTTTTTATTTCTACACCTGAGGACTTCCTCCTCTTTGCTTTGGTGTGGCCTGCAAGGTTCTATATAACTTACCTCCTGGCAACCCTCACTTTATTGCTGTATGTATCGGCCTGGGGTTGTTTTCTGATACACTACGTCTTCTGTTCCTGATACACTCACTTTCTGCTTAATTATAATTTCTTAGAATCATAGAATTTTTTGTGTTGGAAAAGACGTTTAAGATCATCAAGTCCAACCGTTCCCCTAACCCTGCCATCCCACCACTAAACCCTGGCCCTAAGCACCACGTCTTGCCAGCTTTTAAATACCCCCAGGGGTGGGGACTCGACCCCTGCCCTGGGCAGTCCCTTCCAGTACTTGACAGCCCTTGCAGGGAAGGAATTTTCCCCAGTGTCCAACCTAAACCTGCCCTGGCACAACTTGAGGCCATTTCCTCTTGTCCCATCGCCCGTTCCCTGGGAGCAGAGCCCAAGCTCTCCCCGGCTCCCCCCCTCCTCTCAGGCAGTTGTAGAGGGCAATAAGGTCTCCCCTCAGCCTCCTCTTCTTCAGGCTGAACACCCCCAGCTCCCCCAGCCACTCCTCGTAAGACTTGGGCTCCAGACCACTCACCAGCTTTGTTGCTCTCCTCTGGACATGCTCTACCAATTCAATGTCTTTCTTGTAGTGAGGGGCCCGACACTCTTGAGGCGAGTGTTTGTCGAGTTAGATCTGGGACTCGCTCTTAAAAGCTCTTTCTTCTTGCTTGGGACATGGATACCTGAGAGTATGGACACTTTTCTTTTAAAGAAATTCCAAGCCTCCTCCAGCTTCTAGCCCATGTAGCTTTACCTGCCCATTGCCAAGCACTTATGTACTTAGGTTTTTCTTCCTCTGTACTGAAGCCAGGAGCAGAGCTTTTGTAATCTGCTCAACTTTCTCCTCCCATTTTTTAGTTTCAGTTGTTATGTTGGCTTCAACCCCAAACCTTGAGTTTCTTTCCCTGCAATATAGCAAACAATGAGCTCCTTCCCCTCTGTGCCGGTGGCAGGACACATACCGGTACTTTGACCGTCTTCCATTTTGAGCTGAGAAATTTAATCTCCTCTAAGGCAACTCAAAGAGCCACGTAACTCCCTTTCAGGCTGACAATACCACCTTTTTTCTCTAGTCCTCACCTGGCAAACGTTTACTCTGTTTTTCCTGTTCAAGATCCTGTTTAGCTCTGCCCCGTTTGCCCTCAGGCTCCTGTCATCTGCTGTGTTAGTAAATGTCTTCATATCCTTCCCTCTAAGAGCTCAAAGAAACACAGTATTTCCTCTGGTGCCCAGAATAATGCTAAATAACTGGATATAGAATTATATTTAGGATTTCAGATTATTGCTTTTCCGAGATATCTCAATGAGCCCTGTTTTCTTCTTGTCTTCATTTAGAGAAAATATAATGTTGAAGATGGAAAACACAGAGAAGTATTTAATCAATAAACACATAAGGGTCTAAACTAATTTGCCTACAGTTGTTTAAGGTAAGAGCAGTGAGCTTGGTTCCCATATTTAGAAAACTCTCC